AAGCACAGGCGGAAGAGCCCCTGGGTACCGACTCTCACCGGACCATTTCCAAACGGTCAAGTGAATGCAATTTTCCTCTATTTCAAACCATTACGGTAACGATGTACATAACATATATATACCCAAAAGCAGTGTATAGTGAAATATTGTATAGCTTCCAACTCTCCCGCTTAAGGATAAAAAACTATGATCTCATGCCAATTCACACTTGCAGACAAAACTCCCACACACTGAGTTAAATCTAAGCTACTACATCCTCAACTAACACATTTCTAAAGAATGTACAAAGTACAGTAATTGTGAGTCAATGGGAGAAAAGAAAAGTCTATGTGAATGATTGAACTTTCCCATTTTTTAATTTTAGAAGGGAGAACATGCACTTGAGACAAGGTTGTGTTTAGGTAAAGGAAAGGTTTGGAACAGTTAAAAATGACAACTTCAGAAATCCACAGAACCTTCAGATATTATGATTCGGTTCTCTGCCAAATTCCAGGTACTCCCTGGATTAACATTTTATAACTTTGACTCAAAAATGTTGGCACATGAATAACAATAAATTACTGTAAAAATCTCATGGTAACAAAAAAAAGACTTCTTACTTCTTGAACCTGCTCATATCTATAAAAAAACTACACCTAGTTGCTTTCACTATCTTGATATCAGGCTAAGTTAGAAAGCTACAAAGTCATCTAACCCAAGAATTCCAAGACTCTTCATCAAAGGGTGACATTAGAAGGATCAAAGTAAATTCTGGTCACAAACTACATGTATGCAAAACAAAATGAAAACAAAATAGAGAATAAAAAAGAGAGGAACTACCATATTCCGAGCATTTCCCGGAAAAAAAAATGTTGTCTTGTCCTCACAAGACTTTCAGTCCTCAATTTTTGTTTTCCTACAAGTACAGAAAGTGAAATTTTAAGACAAGAAACCAAAAGAGAACAAACTTGACTTAACGTTTTCATTTTTTGTTGTTCCTGTTCTGTCTAGTTGTTTTGATATGATTTAACGTGCGAGCATTCTTCATCTCTAGCAAGGTGTGTACTATGTTATTTTGTGTAAAGTGAACGGGCATTTCAGATGCCAATGAGTTTTAAGAAAAATTTAACAGATGACTTGGCATCTAAATTCCTTTTAAACTTTAATGCACCAGGCAGCCAAGTTTTTTTTTACACATGGGAGTTTGGATCAAAGGAAAAACAATAATCAACTTTGAATGAAAGCAAGAAAAAAGAGAGACAGAGAAAGATCACCTAACTGGCTAAAAATCCTAGAATTTATCCGGTAATGTTTCTGGCTTCCACAATTTTTAACATTCCTGCTTCTAGTTACATTTTTCACCAAAAAATGGCTATCATGTTTACAGGCCCAAAACAAATCCGTTATCGGATGGAAAAACATGCCACTTTCTGTAGCATGCGGGTATATTGGTAGTGTTGCCACAAGTTACACTTAGGTGCATACACTGTACATCTTTAAATAAAATTATGAAGACAGAAGTTTGCTTCTGAAGTAACACGTGGGACAAGCACAGCACTTAAAAAATTTCCCAAGTAGAGTGACTTTTCAGAGCATTCACACATGACAAGTTACCATGGACATTATTATAGCAGAGTACAGATGTTTGCCACTAGACTTAAATATACGACTCATTTAGAACAAAAACAAATCATGAATTTTTCAAGTTTTTTACTGTTTTATTCTCACTTGCATTTGATTGGCTGAAATCCAAAAATTGGTTAAAGAAATGATTCATTCTGTCTTGATTATTTTTTAAGCATTTCTTTAATATTTTTGTTCTTCATCTTTCTACAAACATCAGTGATTTACGTGCACATTTAAATTGTCATTTTGTCTATGCACAAAATGACAAGTTTTGTTGGTCACCCCAAAAGTAATGAAAGCGAAAGTAGTTACAGTTTCTAGTCTCTTGAAAAGGGTTAAAATGCAATGCAAGTGACTTAATTATATTGACCAAATATATCATAGTTAAGGTTACTATGTATACAGTGGCTATATTTTAAAACACATTTCAAAAAATTCACACAGTACATCACTGGTACCCCAGTGGAAGACCTTGAATAACCTGCTGAGGGAAACAACACCGTTGGCGATAATTACAAAGAATGTCACACATTACAGTTTAACAATAGAAACAAACAGAAAGAAAAAATGTTACTTTGTGCTATCCACAATACGATATTGTGGGGTCAATTACACTTGTATGATAATAATGTACAAAGGATACACACATGACTCTTGAGGTCATTTCGTAGACCCCTCCTCACAAACTCATAAGCTTCCTCCTTTCGTCCAAGGCAGTTTAGAGTGAGTCCTTTCATGGCCAAGGTTTCTGAATGAAAAGAGAGTCAAAGAAGTGCTAGAAGTTTGAAAAATGACCCTCTATAGGGTAACAGGGCTGGCCGGTTTTGGTGTATCAAACTTGAGCTTAAATGGTACATCGTTCAGTTTCCGGTGTTCCGGTGGTATCTACTGCTCGATCGCACCGAAATCGTCACATGTAAACACTTTATTCTCACCTCCGTGTTCAGAGAACTTTGGATTTGACAGGATCTGCTTAGCAAACTTGAGCCCATTCTTGTACTGCTTGTGCTCGTAGCATTTCTGCAAATTAAAACATGATCGTAAAGGAGTTTAAAACGGAACCTGTAATCGACAACCCAAGGCGCGCTTGAGGAGCGAGACACCAAAGTCACGAGTCCCGGTTTTCGGTACATTACCAAACCGGTGGCTTTACATTTGTCTTACCAAGATTCGCTTGAACAAAGCGTTCTCTTTGGGTGGTAGAGTAGTCGGCATGGTGGTGAACTACTCAGGGACGAGCCTCTACCACCGAAAGGTTAGTTTTGCTCACAGGCCTCGTGGAACCAGCAAAAATGGCGACTTGACTGCTGAACATGCTACCCACACTTCTTTGGGAGTCGAGTTAAATTGATTTGTAACCAGGCCTTGAAAATGCAAATTGTTCCCACTAAATGTTTTGAAACTTGTTGGTTGATAGGAATTTTTTATAAATAATCTCCCAACTTTATGCGCTTATTTTCCTACCAACGTTCAGTCTTGTTGAGATTTCACAACATTTTTGCGTGGATTCCATTTTTTTTATCTTCACTCTCGACCCAGTTTTCGCCTGCCTACGGCCACGTCTAAATTCAAAATGGCGGCGGACAGTGAAACCGGCGATCTCGTGAAGGAAGTGATGGTAAGAGGCTTTCAGCTTGTGTTATCGCGAATCTACGCTTTTTTATTGCAGGGAACGTTTTTGGGCTAGATGCTGGTTTTGCTTGGTCGATATGAGATCGGAATATAAGAAAAAACTAAGTTTTCTAAAAATAACTTTGTCTACCTCACGTCAAAATCTCTCTGTTCCGATCAAATTAATACAACTTTGATTTATCCTTGTAAAAGTGATGAGGAAGATGTAGTATATAACAAGTTCTCAGTCAGGAATGGAATGGATGGGATACGGACTCCTTTCCATGCATCCCTTCCCTAATCATTATGCATCAGTCAAATCCAATAAATGTGCTCACCCCCCCCCCCCCCCCCCCCCCCCCCCCCCCCCCCCCCCCCGGCGCCCTCCCCCCCCCCCCGCTCCCCGGGGGGGGGCGGGGGCGAATTTTGTTCCCCCCCGGCGGGGGGGGGGGCAGTGGCGTTGGTTGTGGCTGTTTTGTGTTGGAGGGATGGGAGAGGTCGGGGGGGGGGGAGGGGGGGAAAAATGCAAATTGTTCCCACTAAATGTTTTGAAACTTGTTGGTTGATAGGAATTTTTTATAAATAATCTCCCAACTTTATGCGCTTATTTTCCTACCAACGTTCAGTCTGGTTGAGATTTCACAACATTTTTGCGTGGATTCCATTTTTTTCAATCTTCATTCTCGACCCAGTTTTCGCCTGCCTACGGCCACGTCTAAATTCAAAATGGCGGCCGACAGTGAAACTGGCGATCTCGTAAAGGAAGTGATGGTAAGAGGCTTTCAGCTTGTGTTATCGCGAATCTACGCTTTTTTATTGCAGGGAACGTTTTTGGGCTAGATGTTGGTTTTGCTTTACAAAACTACGTTTTCTAAAAATACCTTTGTATACCTTACGTTTAAATCTCTCTGTTAATATAACTTTGATTTATCCTTGTCAAAGTGATGAGGAAGATGTTTTATATAATAAGGTCTCAGTCAGGAATGGATTGGATGGGATACGGACTCCTTTCCATGCATCCCTTCCCTGATCATTATTCATCAGTCAAATCCATTTGTACCCAGCCCCCTCCCCCCTCCTCCTCCGGGTAACTGCGGGGCATTTGCCTACCTTGTCAGTCCCGGGGGTGGTAGCATTAGCAAATTTTCCACCCCCAGGGTGGGCTGGGCGCAATTGGATTTTATACCTGCCAACTCTCACGCCTTAGGCGTGAGTCTCATGCCTGCGGGTTGAAAACTTCGATCTCACGCCTGCTCATGCTTGTGGGCCAATTTCTCACACCTGATTGAAAAATGTGAGTTGTTGCCGTCTTGCTTGACACAATTTCCAAAAATATGTTAACTCAGACCCAATTTGTAAGGAACGAAAACCATGTGTAAAATGTATAAATGACAATACCTTCCTCGTGATCTCTGATTTTGTGGATAAGCGTTTTCTCGATAACTTCACCTTTGGCAGACTTTGGACGTCTTCGGAAGACTTCAGACGTCTTTGGAAGACTTCGGACTTCTTCGGGAATCTTCGGAAATGATCGTGTCGCGTTCAAAAATCCCAGCACTCCCAGGATAAAAATCTCACGCTTATATCTCAGAAAAAGTTGGCAGGTATTGCATTTGACTGATGCATTAATGTTGGGGAAGGGATGTTTGCACATACCGAGGAAACTGCAACTGGGTAAAATTTAGCCTACATCTTTGCCTTAAAGCATGTAAATCATAAGGAAACTATCTGTGTTGAAATTATTATTAAATTTGAATAGTTGTTTATGTAGGATTTCTCTTTGTGTATCACAGAGCAACAGAAATGGTTCTCTTGCAAATGCTAAAACTCTCAGCAAGGAAGAATTGTGGAGGTAAACATGTCTATTTTTTGTATTTAATAATTGAAAGGTTAATTGTTTGTGAAATACTATATTGCATATTCAGCCAAACTAGCGCTGCAAAATCAGTATTGATAATAATAATGATAATCAATGTCATTATTATTATTCTTATCATTTTTATTGATATTCAGCATGCAAAGAAAGTCGCATCCGATGGCTCGGGGCTAGTGCATTTGGCTATTAGGCTAGTGATATTTGTTCTTAACTTGCCCGACAAGCAAGTGCTGTTTTTTGGGGAAATTCAAATTACAGAAGGATTGTAATCAATCCTACTAATCAAAAAGGGTTTTGGGGCTAGTTGAAATGACTTGTGGGCTAGTACATGCTAGCCACAGCTTGCATGCCTGAAAGGCAAGACTGATGATGGTGACGTCAGCAATCACATTGCTGAGCACCATTTACAGACAAAACATCGAATTGACTGGGACTCTGCGACATGTATAACGTATTCTACAGACTACTACCAACGTCTTACTTTAGAAAGATGGTTTACTAACTCAGAACAAACGCCACTGAATCGTAGCCAACAGTTACCGGTGCCATACAAACGACTTGTTGACGAGATCAAGCAAAACTAACTACGAGAGAACGACGGGAGAACTGACAATTTGACTAACAATAGACGACTGTTTAACTGTGACAATAGACGGATCGAAATGCACCAATTACTGATTATGAGTCTTCATAGCCAATAACATCACAGCTTAACTGGCAGACGACCAATAACATTCAAATGTAATTGATCAATCAGACCAATAACCAGAGTATAATACCATCAACTGACGTTACAACAACTGACTTTGACTCTGAAGATGACTACCACACAGGTTGTTGAAACGTCAGTCACTGTCAACAACAACAGTCCTATTCAGGTCTACGTTCACCCGGACGATCAAACTCAACCCACTTTTGAAATGACTCCTGGGTCCAAACCTTTCACAATGTTATTTGAATTCAAATTTGTATTCCACATTAGATAAAGGGCATTAAATTGTGCAAGGATGCTTTGTTTAACCCTGAGAATCTGATACAGGATTAACCTATTTTGATGTTATTCACTTGATGAATGATAGGATAGAACATGAAAAGTTACATGCTAAACACAAAGGTCATGAAGCCATGCACATGGAGATGGTTCTTATTCTATTTTCTACACTTGTGGTAGCCCAGGTTCTTTTGGTAAAGTGGAAAAAGCATTACTACAAGTCATTCCAGGTAAAGAGATCACAACATTTCTGAAAAATACAATGGTTGGAAGAAACTTGTGGTTGACTGCTCTTCAGTTGGCTGATGATGATGTATTTATTAATTAGAAGGAGAAGACCAATGAGGCATGAGATATTATTTTATTATTATCATCTAAATGGCAAGCAACAGCTCGCTTGTGTGAACATTCTGGTCTTCAGTATGATTGACAGTAACAAAACAAGTGCCCCTGAAATATTAAGAGGGACTAAAATTCTATTATTATTGATAAGGGCTACGTTTATGTCTTTTGGTATGGCTGAGTTGTTACTGCAGTGTAAATTGTATGGCACTGCTGAAATACAATGGGTTCTGATCCCGTTTCAATTGTTTTTTTCCATGTTAATTTGCAATTGCTTAAATTGCAATTACCACTACGACGATCTTATCTTCATTTAGATTTACCTCCAATTGAGGACACAATAATAATTAGTTGACACACTTTGCCTTTAAGTGCCTTTCTGACATTTTGCCCTTTTAAAGGGAAAAATGAAGCTTTCCTTCCCCTACCCCCTCCAAGCTATGTTCTGCCGCTGCATGTTAACTGATTGAAAAAAATCACTAATTTCCTTTTTATTTTTTAACAACCTAGGCTGTCACTCTAGTTGGTATGTGGTTGATTCCTCTGTATTTCAACATTAAGCTTAAGTTTTGGCGCATGCTGTCTGCTTGGGTGCTGTTCTCAGTTTTGACGGGACTTATCGTTTTCAAGTCCACAAGAAAGCCATTAACACCAACAACTCCGAGGTATAGTAACTACTGTAATGCAGCTATTAATCCTTTAGCCTGGTCAGGTTTCCAACTAAAGATAATGTGTAGTCAGGAGAAAAGAGAGAAAGGAAAGGCAAATGATAGTTTATTGAAAATTAAACGAGACTTGCATGTAAGTCGAAGGTTGATTAAGATTCTACGAGTCATCAGCTGGGAGTGTAGGAGTTGTACGACTCCACAACGGTAAAAGCCTGTCTTGCTTCAGTGCAAGAACTACACAACTGATCTGACACATGAGCTTCCTTCTTACCACACCTTCACGACCTTGGCTGATAACCAAATAGAATACAGGCATGACTCATCCCTCTTAACCACAGGCAGTCCAAAATCATGTTACAAGGAAACGAAGGGGATCATGTAATTTACATTCTTAAAAATCTCACATGTAGGTGACACAGAACCTGACCTTTGTGTGTAAGCCATGCCATTGTCAGGTCACAGATGACCATTTGATTTAAGAGATTTTGAGAAATACATTATACTGAGATCTGTGATCTCTAAGCAAAGATAAAACTATGCTTTTGTTTCGTGAAGTGTTTTAAAGAAGACTTATCTTCATTCCAAAGGTTTATTGTGTGTTCATCATTTCACTGGATTTTTAGGCTTTATTGTATACTTTCCTGATACTTTCATTGCCTCTTTTTCTTCTTGCTTTGCATGACCATCAGTTGCAGAGCTAGGAACACTGTTGGACAAAACATGGTCAAAATAATCACCAGCAGTAATAATAAAACAGTGATGTTAAAGACAGTGGCTTATAGATATCATGATCACTCATAAACTGTTTGATTCATCTATTTTTCTCCTTTGCAGACTTGTTTACAAATGGTTTTTGTTGATACACAAAGTGACTTATGCCTTGGGAATAATAGGCTACATGGCTGTTTGTCTCACAATGCTTGGCGTCAATCTAATGTTTGCAATTAGGCCTGATACTGCCATGGAGTTTGGAGTGACCGTGTTGTTTTATGGACTTTATTTTGGAGTGCTTGGTAGAGATTTTGCTGAGATATGTGCAGATAACATTGCTTCAAAACTAGGTGTAAGTACTAGCCTTTTCTTACTTTCTGCGGCTGCACTAGCGGCAAATAAAACATGAGGTACTTTCCGCATATTAATTAGAATTAACTGGTTTCAAAAATACATTTCGAGTTACAGCTGTGTATTTTAGGTGTCAACTGAGTATTAACAGGGTCATGCAAATTGTCCGAGAGCAGTGCATTTCCATGGGGAAGATTCACAACTTAGCAGAGTCATACAATTTTCTCTTTATTTTATTAGTATTCTAGTAAAGATGGGCTTCCAAGTAGAAGCCTTGAGATCAACATTTGTGCCGTTTGTGGCCAAGAACTTGTGTTGCAGCAAGATGATGATGATGATGGGCCTGAGAAAAATTACAAACTCTCTTGTGGTCATTTGTATCCTTGCCTTTTAAAAATAATGTGTAATGGAGTAGACTTTCGGAAAAGTCCTTCTTCCCATTTAATCAGGGGCATCCAACGACGGTCTCCTACTAAATGCATTAATAACACTTTTTAGGCTATCTGGAGCTAGAGTACAAAGACGTCTAAAGAAACGAGCGTGGAAATTCCTACTGATGACTCATCACTATCCAGATCTGGGTAGTGACGCGTCATCGGTATGGAATTTCTGCACTCGTTTCTCAGAAATCTTTTGGCGGGAAACCAGTGGTGGCGTCTCTCCTCACGTGGGCCTGGTTTGCGTGATGAATACATAATTACATACTTTTTCCGTCATGATTTGTCTCTAACTTGTCTCTCTAGAAACGTCATTTTTAGTTATGTTGAATTTGTGAATTTGTTTCTGTGAATCAGTGTCTATCCTTCACAAACAATAAACCCAGATTCCACGAGTTCTGTATACGTGGTTGGTGTATCGTTGGAAAGAAGCAAACTTGTCCTTATTGTAAAGAAAAGGTAGACCTCAAGAGGATGTTCCACAATCCGTATCCTTTTATAAATTTCTACCTTGGAAGCACACCAGAATCGGGCATAAAGGCTCTACCAGCAGGGTGATAAATTGCTTGTCAATATTGGGAAAATATCAATCAAGCCGGTCACTTTACTTAGCTATCCAACCTGGCCCTCTCGCGTCAAGTTTAAGTTCACCTCAGCAAACTCAAGCAAAACAAACATGCGTCAGGTTTAAGTTCACCTCAGCAAACTCAAGGAAAACAAACATGCAAAAACTTTTTAAAAACTTTCAAGAATTTACTTAAGTAATTACACTGACCCGCAGGTAGTAAATGCTAATCTAGGCGGGTCCGACGAACAACTGAGGGTTAACTGTTTTAACTCATGGTAGAATGGCGATGACTATAATTTTTTTCTGCCAAGATGACACTGGTTCACGCGCAAACACTACCTTAATGTGGAGAAAATCTTGTTCTTGCAGTCCTCCTCGTCTTAGAATCTTAAGGTGTCTAATAAGTTGTCTGGAAAGCAACACTACTTCTTCTTCTAAAAAGCAATTATTCTGGGAATATCTTTCAACTTTCCTTGACCAGTCCCCAGGTGGGAGCGTCCACACGTCCTTTTTGGACAGCTTTTGGACTGGATCCGATACCTCGTTGTGTGGCAGCCCATAATTATTGTTGTAGTACAGATAATAATTTATCTTCTAGGTCTAGAATAGATGTCTAAGTTTTATTTAAAGCAACAAATGAAATTATATTATAATTTGTACAGTAAGCCGAGTCATAATTATGCAGGCTTCCTTTAATTTCTTTTTAGCAAGTACTGAGAGGCTAGGATAAGTCTAGCGGTTTTTATTATATCCGTATTTATCCTATGATTATCTTAGGATTATCTTAATGTCAGTGCAATTGCGGTTGCGAAATTACATGACCCAAAGCTTAAGAAAAGTATTAATTTAAAGAATGAATAAAAATGTTCTCGTTTTTTTTCCATGAAATTGCTGTCTTGGTACGCTTCTTTTGGTGAGGAACTTCGTGGTCTTCGCGGTACAGTTTTGGGTTGACAAAAATATTACGTTTGTTGTTCAGTTTGCTTCGTCTACCGTATGAAGTCAAAATTGCAGGGTTTTTTCCTTTTTTTTGCGTCATTCTTTAAAGCGTTCTGTCAAGTGGCCAACTACTTCTGAAGTTGCTCCATTTTTTTATATGACCTCCCTTACGTTTCTTCGTGATGAATCTAAGTAAGTATACAATAATTGGTAAATGTAAATGTATGTTGTATCAAATAAACAAGCTCTGTTGACTTTTTTTTAATTATACACTACGAACTCTGAGATCTTAAACTTGCTGTAATTGCTGTGGCAGTAATTACCCGGCAAAAATGAAACGGAGGTTGGAAAACGGTCATTTTCTGTCCAAATATGTGTTTGTATTTTCGCTTTTAGAATTGTCATCTCCACAGAGAGAGAGTTTTAAACGAGCTTGTACCGAATCCTCCCAGAGTCTATTGTATTAAATCTTTTAAATTTTGTATCAACAAATGGGAGCAAATTATCTTAAATAGTTTGAACGCAATTTGTTTCAATTTAATGACAGCAAGGAAACTAGTGTTTTCAGTTATAATAATGTACCGGATATTGCATGCTATTATTTCTGTCCCAAGAAATACACTTGGCCTTCAGATCGTAAACGAATCGTGAATCCGAGATAAAGGCAGCTGCTTGAAACAGGTACAAATTTTTTTCCATACGAAACCCATCCTTTAATGGTCAAACTGATTCTCATGTTCACGTTTCCAGCATTAATTTGCGATCTTTGACGTCTAGTGTTAATTCTCCTGGCTAACCTAATCAAAGGAGAACATTGGTAAATTATTTTACCTTTAGCTAATTTGATCAAGAGTCGACGATCGTGAAAATCTAGATACAGTATCACGGGGTAAACAAGCGTAGGAAGTTTTAAGGACAGGTGATACTAAACAACAGATTATTTCTTACGGTTTCGCGATCGGTCAACTCTTGTCTCTCAGGCTTGGTTAGATCTCGAGTTGAAATGAATGTGCTATCAAATACAACTCGTGAAAAATGTTCCATTGAACCTCCTATTGTTTTTCTACAAGATGGAAAGCACATTATTTTGGCCTTGAATATCCTTGCGAATATGATTCTTATGCCAACTTCAATTCTAGGAAATTTGTCGATTCTCCTCAGCTTCGTGCTTGTACCCTCTCTTCCTTCGGCATCAAACAATCTTCTTCTGGGATTGGTTTTGACAGACCTCGGTGTGGGACTTGTAGTTCATCCATTGTACATTTTTGTACTACTGAACATCTACAACAACTCTCTTCCACACTGCAAGGTCATGGCTGCGTATAGCGTAACCACGGCGTATTTGGGTGGCGTTTCGCTTCTGTATGTCACAATGATCGGAATTGACAAATATCTGGCGATCAAGCTGCATCTGCGATATCGAGAAATCATCACAGACAAGCGATTGACCTTCGCGCAGATAGGTGTCTGGGTGCTAAACGGGCTCCTTAGTTTGGTTTGGCTAAGAGGCTTCCGTGTTTACTCGACATTTGCAGCTGTTGTTGTGTTGCTCTCTATCATAGTTGCATTCGCTGTTTATGTTAAAATTTACCAAGTTGTTAAAATTCACCGGCGTGAGATACATATTCAGATGGAATCTATGGAGTCCAGTATGGCACAATTTGAAAATTGTCGCTTAAAACGATTAAGGAAGTCGGCTATTAGCACATTGTACGTCTTCTTTGTATTTCTGCTTTGTTATCTTCCCTTTTCTACGTCAACTGCAGTAAACGTTTTGTCCGATTCGCCCACGAAAGCTGGAATCTTGACGTTCGAGTTGTGTGCAACGTTAATGATGTCCAACTCGTGTTTGAATCCTTTGATGTACTGTTTACGCTTCAGAGAATTTAGAATTGCTGTGAAGAAAACTTACCGTCTCATTCTCTGCGGAATGAAGAAATAACTGAAGAAACGCCTTTGAAGACCAATTTTATTTGCCTGGCGGAACAATTATCTACTCATCAAAGTGCTGATAAATCACATAAACTTTCTTCGCGTCAGCTTCCGATCAAAAATCTACGTAAGCCGGGGAGTTAGTCAGGATAACTTCGGAAATCTTAATGAAAGTCTTGGAACTAGTCTCGGAGATCCTCGAATATGTTTGGCATATGAATTCGTCCGGCACCGGGCAACTTCGAAACATTTTTAAAATCGTCGGGGACCTTTAAATTCTTTATATGAACCGCAGTGTATGAAACACTACATGGTGACTGCGGCCGTTTTCGGCTGAAACTGTAAAATTTCAGTCTTAACCGTGTGTACTAAGTAAATGTTTCATAAACGAAGATGTATGTATTGATAGTTTTCTTTTCAAATTCGAACTACAGGAGTCAAAAATTTTCCCATCTGACTGTCCGCGCTCTAGAATAGCACGTCGCCAACTTTGGACATTACTTCGAAATCAGTACACTGAATTTGGCAGAGAAAGACAGATGTTAGTCAAGGAATTTTTACTTAAATTACTCGGCAACTAAAAAGACCAAATGTAGTCAGGACAAAGGGAACTCTTTTCAAATTGTAAGCGAAACGAAAACAGAAAAAGGAAACTTGAAATATGACTTAGACATGACTTAAAACATAAAGGAGGTTCTTAAAACCCACTAAAAACGAGATCTAGCAATTTAACGAATTGATATCGAAATTATTAGCTAAGTAAACGAGTATACGAGTTAAAGCCGCGTTACGCCGGCGTTTGAAATAGTAACTTAGCGGTATTTATGCTCCTTTGAGGATAAAACAACAACAAAAGAACTTGCCGAGCTTTGTCCTGGATTTATCAAAGCCTTGCTAAGTTAAAAATGTTTACTTTAATTTATTGGTTCTCAATAAATAAAAAAAGAAGGAAGAAATAGGATTTCGACCTGTTAACATTTTTTAATTGATCTTTTAAAGTTCAATAGAAACACATTTCAGATGTATTGAAACAGGTTTTTACGGTTACAAATTGAACTTACGGTTATTTAAGGCTTGAAGGATGTTTGCTTCATAGTACTCTTTCCGATTGATAGAGGGCATTTCAACTGAAAAGATGAAGCTANATACGAGTTAAAGCCGCGTTACGCCGGCGTTTGAAATAGTAACTTAGCGGTATTTATGCTCCTTTGAGGATAAAACAACAACAAAAGAACTTGCCGAGCTTTGTCCTGGATTTATCAAAGCCTTGCTAAGTTAAAAATGTTTACTTTAATTTATTGGTTCTCAATAAATAAAAAAAGAAGGAAGAAATAGGATTTCGACCTGTTAACATTTTTTAATTGATCTTTTAAAGTTCAATAGAAACACATTTCAGATGTATTGAAACAGGTTTTTACGGTTACAAATTGAACTTACGGTTATTTAAGGCTTGAAGGATGTTTGCTTCAGAGTACTCTTTCCGATTGATAGAGGGCATTTCAACTGAAAAGATGAAGCTACTGATCGGTGTTTTTATCGCTTTCTCAGTCGCAGCGTTTGCCTACGCAGAAATGGAAAACGGTATGTCTAACAAATGTAGTCAAAGGACCCGATTGCACATTTACAAAGGCAAAATAAGTAACGCATTTTCCCAGTTAAACGTCCCTACGTTTATTTAGTTTAAGTTTGGTGTTGGTGACCAGGTATTTGTTTGAAAATACAAAAGGACTCTTCAATCGCTTTTCCTGACAGACGTGTGTAAGTTTATTCCCTCGGCTCTTATAGTTAAAGTTGTTTAACTGAATGGGCGTATTTGCTCGCAATTTCCGTACTTGGAACCCAGTGCACTATAATGTGGGTCAGGGAGTTAAGCAAAAAAAAGAGCAGGATAACCCCCAAGTCTCTTTTCTGTTGTTCCACACCATCAAACGATCGATTTCCAGTGAATTCTTAGAAGAAATACCAAGTTGCGTTAAACACAGATTGTATAATTATGCCTTGGACACCTATTGTAGCTAATGTATAATGCCTGGTCATCACACGAGTAAATAATGCCTGCTTAGCACCCAATCAGAGGGCGCGTACTATTGTAGCCATGCATGTAATAACGTGACATTATGCAAGACTCATTGAAGGGAATTCTAATGCTCGAAAACCCTTTCACGAAATTTTCAAAAAAAGGGAAAGAAGCACCGTCTCCAGAGAGAGATCTGAAGTGAGTAATTTGACCTCCATTTTACGTTATAACGCCTGTAATTTCATAAAACTTTTTGCAAAGCTGCATTATCCTTCGATTATGGTATTCTCATCTAGTTTCACTGCTGTTCCCTTTGATCCGCAACAGATGATTTGGACGACATTGACCTGCTTTCTCTTGTCCTTGGAGAAGAACCGCCCGCACCAGATACAGCAAATACATTTGGTAAATTTACTTTAGTTATTAATGTAACTTAACCTGTTTGTCCACCTTTAAACAGGGAGAGTCGGTATTCTAAGAAAACCTGAAGACGGCTGAAGAACGCAATGTTACACGAGACGATTCGCAACGATAATTTTTAGCGCAACACAGCGTTACAACATTGTTGCCACATTGATTCGAATAGGTACAACATTGTTCCAACATTGTGACACTGTGTTGCGCTAAAAATCGTCGTTGCGAATCGTTTCGTGTAACATGCAGCACCTTACCTTTCCTCTAGCCTAACAAGATTTTAGGCTTATAAGATTTCAAAAAGCTCAATTGCAATCCGTTTCAATTTTCTTTAAAGCAATTGTCGTCCTCGCTCAGAAATTTGCTAAATATCGACAATCGATAACAAAGAATTTGATATATTAAAAAAGAAATTTGTCCACCCGTGCTTTCCTTTGTATTTGCTGTGTTATTCAAACCGTCTTTTAACGTTTTGAGTGGTTATTTCTATATGCTTCACTGAATTTGGTGGCAGTTTCCATTGTTTAAACTTTTGACAAAATTCGTAGCACAGCTTCTTAGTTTAATGGGAGGTTCGGTTCGATTTTGCCAAACGTTTTGACCGTATATCGTCTATCTTAGGCAGGTGTGTTGATCGATGGGGCTATCGATACTGCCAGCAAAAGCGTCGATTTTGCCACCACAGCTCCATGAGATATAATTGCGCACGAACATGCGGCTACGGTTGCTAGAAAGGTACGTGGAGATTTCACTGGTTCCCTCTGCGCTAACTTAAACACCAACAAGTCCTCAGTAAAAACAACATAAATAACCTCTATTTCCCTTTTACAGGGCGTTTCATTTACCGTTTCTCTCTCCGAACCTATTTCCGTTATACTGAAATCTACCTCTCCGTATACAAGTAAATACTTGAGGTTTCATTTACAATTCCACCATTTAGATCACCGACTGTAGAAAAAAATACAGTCAACTCTCCCAGCTGAGAGACTGAGAAAGAAATGTCCACCGTTTAGAGAGTCACCGAAATAAAGGGAGTAAAGAAAGGCAGGGACCAACTATGGGTGTCCGTTTTAATTTACAGAGGTGTCCGTCTTATAAGGGTGCCCGTTAAGAGAGACGACTGTAAGTTATTATGGGTGCATTCGTGATTGATCGTATGCCGGAATAAGAATACACAAATTCTATGTTGCTAATTTGTGATGCCGTTATTTTTGGGCCACTTCAAAGCTATATACATTGGGATATTTCATTAAGCAGATTTCTGGCTATTTTAAAACAGTGAACTCAAACAGTCAAAATGCGGTCAATCGAACACGCCCTATACGTTGCTTAAGCACCAACTGGGTACGTAATGAAATTTTCTGCGACGTTTAATTCTTTTACAATTCTTTTTTTCTTTTGCTTGTAATTCCTTTTTGTTTTTTGACAAATAAAACTCATGTATATTAAAAAAAAACTGACAAGAACTAATACATTAACAACAACACCCGTCAGGGTACTGTTAAGTAGAAGGATATTCCTCGGTCTACCTCTCAGGAGAACATAAGTATATTAACTGCGTCATATGTCGTCGTCTCTTTTTTCAGGTTTCCCCAACGAGCAATTCGTCTCCGCTTACTCAAGATAAGATTTGCAAATTGTTATTTACCTGACTGTGTACCTAACAATTTTTGAAAACAAGAAATAAATTATAACTGAATATGAAGCTCTCCGTGTTTCTTTCTTTTAAAAGTATGTCCTCTATTATGAATTTTTAACTTGCTCTTTTTGTGTGTGCTTTTTGTTGTTTTGTTTTGTTTTTTGCTCTGATCTCTCGCCTTCCCCCTCTTCCTATTTTGTGCGCGTAGAGATATATATAAGAGATTTCTTTTAACACTTAAAGCCCCAATATTAAGAAACAAATTCTCAAGACTGATCTCCATATATTTCCCTAAAAATTAGTTGAGAGAATTTGTTAAAAAATCAAAGCATTTGCCCAAGGATGAACATTTCAGAAATTCTCATAACCCTTTCTTTTGATTATGTATTTATATTGTTTGGAGAAACTTGATGTTGGTCACTAGTGGGGCTTAAAGGGTTAAGCAGAAAGTTTTAGTTAGAGGCGGGTATAAGCGATAGCTTAACGTTGGTCAAAACGCTTACAATTATTAGTTAAGGCCGGGTTCTTTTTTACTGATAGCTGACGGATCTTAGATTCACAGGATTTCAACTAAGTTGAACGCTTGTGCAAATTTTTTTAAATATTATTATTAGAGGAACCGATTAGTAATCGGCTCCTGATTATTATTATTAAAATTATTATTATTATTATTATTATAATTATTATTATTATTATTATTATTATTATTATTATTATTAATATTAATATAAGTGTTCAGTTCATGAGACCGTATTTCTTCTCTAATTGCCGGGTCCAAACCTTAAATCTGTGTTGATGATAATGATGATGATAATGATGATGACTGTTGTTATTATTATTATTATTATTATTTATTATTATTATTATTGTTATTATTTAACAATTTGTTCCTCGCCGTTAATGTGCTCCCAAACGAGTCACCAAAATGTCACTTCTGGAT